ACTCGAGAACCTTTCATCCCCACCGGTTGTCGGTTCTCCAAGCTATATGGCTGGCCCATTGCCACTTCAGCTTACTAATCCTTTGGGCTATGTCGGTTACTCTAGTTCTACTGCGGATATTCTCGTTTTTAAGTCTATCACGCAGAGAAACGTCGTAAAATAGGTCATCACTGGCAACACACACTGGTTGTACAATCTAGTTTTGAGGTTTTGAGGTATGCCTGACGAGAAGACGTGTCGTAAACTCCCGAACGCTGCCCAGCCGAGTTGAATCCGTCAATTGATCTCTCGGTCGAAGTTGGACTTACCTAGTCGGACTATTTGTCCCAAATAATCATATTCGTGACAACTTCGCGCTTAGTGCTCCCAACAACTACCAGCATAGGTATGACATGGACGTTAAACATGACTTTTGGTTCGTCCATGTTCATCTTAAGACCTATCCGTTGGGAGACACCATTGAGATCATTAAGCATAGTGCTTAGGTCCTCCAGCAATTCTGCCATAAGGTACTCATACTAGATACGGTATTAACGTCAATGGTACTCGCCATTGATGTTAATATCGTATCCTTTCCAGTCCAGTTGCTCGAAAACGTCTTCTAATACAGCGGTGAAGAGTTTCGGGGATATAACGTCACCCTGTTTTATACCTCTCTGCAATTGGATAGGTTTTATACTCTGGTTCTGTACTCGGATAGCCATCGTATCCCTACTGTACAAACACTTCAACACTTCGACATACCGACAGTCCACTTTGCACGGCTGAAAGGACTGCAGTACCGCCCATATTTCGGCGGAATCAAAGGCTTTTTTGTAGTCCACATACGCAAGACAAAGGGGCAGATTGTACTCTTCGATCTTCTGTACAATTTTCCGAAGGGTATGGTGAGGTATATATAATTATGTGGTCTATGGTGCTAAAGCCTTTTCGGAAACCGGCTTGTTCGAGAGGCTGGAAGTAGTCGAGTCTGCGTACGAGACGATTCGTAATGACTCAGGAAAACAGCACGTAGACGCGGCTCAGAAGGGAAATCGCTCTGTAGTTCTTCAAGAGAGCATTGTCACCTTTCTTGAAGAACAAGACCACGGCACTTCTGCTCCACGCCTCTGGATTAGTGCCACCATGGTCGACGGAATTAAAAAAGCTTCTGAAGGACTTTAAGTACCGGTTTTCCATCCGCTTTCAGAGGCTACGCTGTAATTCCATCCTCGCCCGGGGACTTGCCGTTTTTAAGGCGCTTGAGAGGCATGCTAATCTCGCTCAGACTGACGTCCGGGATATCATCGGAATAGTATCGGATAAGACTCGCTCTTGGATCGTTACTCACACTTGCGTGTGGCTCCAACGATGACGTGTACAGCTGCCGATAGAACCTCTCAATCTCACTCAAAATCTCAGGTTTTGCGGAAACGATGCTACTACATTCGACCTTCAGCTTCGATAGTAGGCTCTTTCTGGTAGACAGATCTCTGGCAAAGACTTTGCAACCCTGGTTCCGCTCGATCGCTTTTTCAATACAAGCTGTATTGAAGTTGCGCAAGTCCCGCCGCATGCATTTGGAGGTCTGTCTGTTCAGTTGCATGTATGCTGTCAAATCTGCTGAAGACTGCAGCTTCATCTCCCGTCTAACAGTCATGACATTAAGAGTGTGATCGGAGTGTTTTTGTGTTCTTCTGCGACGGATCTTACAGAACTTAGCTCCGACCGAATGGACAGTTTCCACAAGTTTTTCGTATCGTCCACTGCATTGCAATCTTCTAGGCACTGAAAACGATTTTGTAACTCGAGCTGAAAAGTTAAGGGACTTTGGCACGAGGGGACGGAGCGTTGACTTCATTAGATGTGACCTTTCCAACTTAACGTTTAGGTTCAGTGTGCCTCTCACCATTCGGTGATCGCCGCCAGTTTTCACCCTTGCAATCACTGAGACATCACTAAACAGTTGTCGTCTGGTCATCCAAATGAAGTCAATCTCATTTTTTGTCGAACTGTTGGAGCTCGACCAGGTCCATTTTCTCTGGGGCCGCTTTTGGAAGAAAGAGTTCATCATAAAGAGTCCCTATTTCTTCATGAAGGCGACCAGCTCCTGGCCCCTTGGGTTCCGCAGCCCTATTCCGAATTTCCCTACTTGCAACTCACCTTTCTCTCTTGTGCCTAGTTTTGCGTTGAAGTCTCCGATTAACACCGTATAGTGGGTTTGGGCTTATTGACTGTAACCAGCTATTTACAAAAATAGGTTTAAGAAATCTTCGATTAAAAACTACTTAATTTTTGGTGTTTACTATAAACATTATTTATTATAAAATGTAATTCGTTTACATTAAAAATAAAGTTGGACAAATCGATGGCCTAGAAAACTAACGTCCTAAATGCAAAATTTTGTGGTTTACATTTTGTAATGCCAAACATTCTAAATGTATAGGCCGCATCTTCTGCACTTATCGGAAAACCATAATTCCACTCTACAGTTCCACTAACAATCAAAATATATTAAATTAAATATAAATATATAATTACACACAAGATGATGACGGTTGAGGATAGGTAGGATAGATACAATTAAGGACGGGAATTATGATGAGAAATATTAGAGTTCCAAGTAATAAGTTTTGATTAGATTTTTGAAGGAAAAAAGGAACTGAGCACGTCAAATATATAAAGGCAAGGAGTACCACAAGCGTACAGCTGTAACCGAAAAAGATTTATTGAAGAAGGAGTAATACGAAGCGAAAAATTGTTAGTGGAACGTAGATGACGATCGTGAGATGAGGAAATTAATTCAAAACGGTTTTTCATGTAATGTGTAGTAGAGGAATTGAACAGTATGTTGTATAAAGCAGAAAGGATGTGAGTATTCCTGCGAAGGCGAATCGGTAGCCACTTGAGACGTTTACGCAATTCTGAAATGTGATGATATTTACGGAGTCCAAATATGAATCGTAAGTATTAATTTTGAATTCGCTCAAGTTTATTTTAAATGCGCTTCGGTAACGTCCAGATAGCAAACATCTGCATAGTCCAAAATAGGTGGAAGTAGGGATTGAGCAAGCGCAACTTTAGTAGCAGTAGGGAGAAAATTTCTAAGTCTCCGCAGAGAGCTTAGCGCTGCAAACATTTTCCTACTGACTTCATTAATTTGTGGTGACCATGTTAGACAGGAGTCGATATATATTCCTAAATTCCTAACTTTATCATTATAAGGGATGTGATGCCATTGGGGAAAATAGGTGGTATGAGAGAAAAGTTAAGCCTAGCAACTAATCTCGAACTACCAATAATTGTTGCTTCAGTTTTAATGGGATAATCCATACGATTTACACCAGTCCAAAATATAAGACAGATCAGCGTTCGTTGTAACGCTAGCTTTCGGTAAATCATCCAGAGTAGATAGAGTATCGATCGTCGACGTACAAATGGTAAGAAGAAGACAGTTGATTACTTATAGAATTTATAAATATTGTAAACAGGAGAGGAGACAACACGCCGCCTTGTGGGGCGCCGGCAACAGTGGCAGACCAAGAGCAATACACATCCTATATACTGTCGGCGCCCAAACAAGTAACTACGGAACCAGTCAACTACAGCCGGAGATATGTTTGTGTTTTTGTTTATAAATGTATCACGTCTAAAATACTTTGTTTTTCAAATTAATCGTTAAAAAAATCAGTAAGCGTATCTTCGAGTATAACATTTAGTCTTCGTTTTATTAAAATCATTTTTTCTATCAAAAATATAGATACGAAAGTATTCAATGATGGCTTTTAATTATTAAGTGCATTTCAATTTCGTAAAATAATGTTCTATAAGGATATCTTTTTAACTAAAACATATTAAACAAACAAATAATGTTTTCTCACAAAATATAACGTAATTTTCGAAACGAATAACATTTATTAAGCTTATTGTTTTTTTTTTTTATTTATTTAACTAATTATGTATTTTTCAAACAGATTATTTGTGTAGAAGAAATTAGTAAAAAATAAAGTAAAGGATGTTGTTTATGTATGTTACAAAACTTTGTTCAAAATCAAATTGGTTATCAGTAACCGTTCTTAATTATATGGCCACACAAACTATTAATATTATAATATATAAATATAGATAGATATAGTATATAGATATAGTTTTGGGAAGATAGTGGATAGACATATTTAGCCTAAAATATAGACTACTAACATTAACAAGCTTCTTTTCGGTTTTGCAACCTGTAACTAGGTATAGAGGGATACTGTTCAATCGATTGATTACTTAAAACTTCCTCAGGTGCCAGGTGGAAAAAAAATTTACTATTGATATGTCAAAGCCATTTTCTTGCAGCCGTGGTAGCTGTTGGTGTTCTGTATAATAGTGACGGTGCTAGTGCATGCGTCGTTGTCAAGGGTCGTTGGAAAGGGCAGAACAACGTCAGCCTGGCGAGCTAGTAAGTATATAAGGAGTAAGACAGCCTACTGGATACTTACTTTAAGTTAACATCAATTGCTGTACGTTACCTCGACCGATGTACATGATTTTTTTGTGTGTGTTTGAATGGATCCCTAGATGGTCACATTTGGACCCGGTAGGTGGCGCTGTTGTCAAGATCCAGAAATCATTCGTGCGAAATCGGGGCGGATCGCTAGTTTTTATATAAATATCTTTACGTAGTATCAACGTCGTAGAGATCACATCACACACGCACTTATGATTTTTGTCCCTTATTGTTTTAAGTTTCTTGCATAATTATGACAAAAATTATTACAACATACCATTTCTGCAATCGCAGCTGATAAAATAAAAAACGAGATTAGAATTATTTATATTCTTGCATCAAATGATGATCATTAAGTAATTTTATTTACAAAAATATACAATAAATAATCAAATAACAACCTTAATAATAAAAACACTTATAAATATAAAATAAATTAAAAGTAAAGAGTCGTAAAATATAGAAAATCCTTTGCGCTGCGTGAGGAAACAATATTATAGTAGAGAAAATTCTTTCACAATTAATTACGTCAGTGACCTTTGGAATAGCCCCATTTCTTGTGATGATCGTGTCCTCCCTTTTTGGCATGGTCATGATGATGGTGATAATGTTCGTCATGACCAGCAGCTTCTTTATGGCCTTTATGTTCATGGTGATGACCTCCTTTCTCATGATGACCTTTTTCCCCGTGTTCGTGTTCGTGATGTCCACCATGGTGGTGCCCTTTCTTGAAGTGGCCTCCTTTCTTATGACCATGTTCTTCATGATATCCACCATGCTTCTCCTCGTGTCCAGAATCATCCTCTTCATCAAAGAAGTGTTTATCTTTCTTGAACTCATCAAGTTTGTGTATCTCGTGGTGTCCTTTTGTGGAATGTCCTTTGTTGTAATGTCCTTTTTCTTCATATTTATGGCCTTTCTCGCCTTTCTCGCCTTTATGATGTTCGTCATAGTGACCATCTTCATGATGGTGTTTTTTTTCATGACCGCCGTGATCGTCATATTCACCCTTGTGTTGCTCCTTATCATGATGACCTTTCTTACCCTCTTCATGATGATGATAACCTTTGTAACCTTTATGTCCCTTTTCACCGTGGTCATTATGATGATGTGCATGATGTTCTTTACCCCCGCCTTTTTTAAACTCACGATTATGGTGCTCATCCTTTTTATGACCAGTTTCAGCGACATTTTGATCATCTATTTCGGTGTTTTTTTTCTGATACTCATTATCATTTGGAGGTAACCGACGTGCGTAAGTAACTCCAAGAATTAATAAAAATCCTAAAACTAAGACTAACCTCATATTAAAAGACAGTCAATATTGTATTGAGATACTGAACAAATTGAGGATACTATTGAAATGCGGGCAATTTTATATAAAAAGTTGCGTAAACAATGTTAATCCACGCGTCGCGAGACAATCTGAATAGTGCATTGCAGCATGCGCCTGCTTTTAACTGTTTCTTCTGTTCCACCCAGACTGCACGTACTTTTACTTTCAAAACAAATAACTGTTTAAGAACTATTCTTATTTTATCAATTTTAATTTTAATATTTTAATAACTACTCCATAATATTATGTTAAAAAGAATTTTGATTTGATAAGAAATGCAAAAAAAAACAATAGTAAAATTAATAATATGATAATTAAAATAAAACTTAAATTTGCAAATATCTCCAAATTTTAATGATGAACTGGAACTTAACTGAGCTGGAATAGCAGTCAAATAGTACAAAAAATGTAGGCTACTTGACTTATTAGCCTAGCATATTATTCTTTTACAGCCTTAAGTGTAGTATGTTGGTTATGTAATTATTATATCTATACAAATAAATAAAATTGAAGTAGTCTGTTTGTAATGCCAAAATAACATAATTTTTTTTATAAAATTAGAGTAACCAACAAGCATACGGTCCACCTGATGGTACGTGGTTGCTGTGGCCCATACATATCTTCGTTCGCGAATTAAAATGCAGGTGCGTTGTCAGCCGTGTGGTACTAAGATAGAATGCCTCTTTTCCAGTAAAATAGGTTTCCAGTTCTCTACAATCACCATACGAAACACAGCAGCATTAAGCTGCAATTTTACGTTGGTATTCATCTCTCACTCAATTGCAACATCTTTCTACTAAATGAATATGAAAGTGGTACCTATCACAAAAACACCATATTTAAAAAAATTGTCTGTCTGTCTGTTTGTTCCGGCTAATCTCCGAAATGGCTGCACTGATTTTGACGAAGTCGCGAGGAACAGCTAGTAATTTAAAAACATCCTTGTTAAGGACCTAGTGATCAGAGGACCTGACAACTAGAACTAGGTTCTTGAAACTGCGGTTACATTAAAAAAAAGAAATTTTATTAATATACGTGTAATTTAAGTCAATTCTTCTAGATATGGGAAAGGGTTGTCGTGGAAGTGTAGCTGACTAGAACAACATAGTGACAGACAATGACAAAACTATCGTTTCTATAAAAAATGTATGCGAATTTTACCCTTTAGTGGTGTAGGTAAATTAACTCAATGTTCGTAGTAGTGTATGTAATCAAAATTTTTGTTTTATATTTATGATCAATAAAAGCATAAATATGAAAATAAGATTATTGAAAAAGCTCAACGCTGAGTGAATTATCCCACTTTTAATTTCATGCCTTTCACAACTGCACTGATGCTACCTGCAAAAGTAATACTAATATGAGGCTCAGTTGTCAGCCTGTGCTGAGAACAAATCTTTCGCTATCAGCACGCTAGATTGAATTGAACCATAATTATTATATTTTATAAAATAAGGGTCACACACGGGCACACAGTCCACCTGATGGTAAGTGGATACTGTGGCCCATATTTTCAGTAAAAAGGGTCTCCGGTTCTCTACACTCACCATACGATACACAGCTGCATTAAGCTGCTATTTTGAGTTGGTATTCTGTGAGGGCGTGCTCCGTTCCCGGTAGAGTCGATAAAATAGCTATAACGTGAGTGTCAACGAATAAAACACGCAGAAAACAAAGTTATAAACAAGTTATCGATATTGGCGCACTAGTATCCCGCACACTAAATGGGAAGGTCAGCTTGCTATTTAACGCTACAGATAACTTAAAATAATTTTATATATATTATTGAAATATAATATTAAAAAGCTATAATAAAAAAACTAAAACAAATAACTTAATTTATCATACAGCCCTACTCCCCGTGGTATCGTGCCAAGAACGCTGGCTGCGATTCCTTGCTGAATGGCTCTGTACTTAGCCTTTGAGCGAGAAAGAACCAGTCCTCTCATCTTTAAATTAGTCAGAGATTTAACATATTAATACGTTTTTAAGTTTTTGGCAAATCTTTTTGATATGACGAGTTGCCATTATATCCATTTGTACTTGAGTTGAGTAATTTGTTATTTCTTTTAAGTTTTTGCATGGTTTCATATAATGCCGTTTTGGGTTATCGGCGCAGAACCTAAAAGTTACCAAAGTATTTTCAATAACTACATATTCATCTTGGAAATACTCAGATGCTTAGACATAACTATTAAGACCGTAATGCACAAATCTAATCGGATAAAATAATATATCATACATAAAGATAATATGTAGGTACATATACATATATAATACATAGAGATTTAATAACTCAAGCAAATACAACTTTTCTATTCTACGTAATATTATCTGTTCCTGACTCGTCGAAATTGTTTGTTATTCTTCTTTTGTTTTTTTACCGTTATACTTCAAATTATTAATACTTTATGCATATGATTTTCTATGCACTTAGTACTAATTAAACTTATTAACTAATACGTAAAAATAAATGGTAAGTCTGTTAACAGGAGCTCTGTATTTCATTTCAATTATGTAGAAAATTCAACTATTTCTAAAATTTTTATAAATTTTCCTAAAGATTATTTAACAATATATAATAGTTTAACAAAATATAATTCAACTACAAAAGAAACAAGAGTCTAATAACAGTATAGAATAAACCTATGAGTGGCTATATACGGGCAGCTCCAAACTCGAACAATAGTTACAATCATAAATCGTGATCATAATCATGAGAACAACAACAAGCCGAAACAACTAGTTTCTCGTGACAAACCTCAATCGAAAGAGTTTACTGAGAATTTTATTTCTAGTGACCCCACTGCCTGGACTGCCATTGAGTGCGAAAACGTTTTCGAAATGTTGGGCACTGCGGTCGCCAACCCTTGTTGCCTATCAATTGTGACGGTTATGGTAAACCCTCCCTATAATGTCCAACAAATCCAACCCAAGCATACCACTGCAAGACTTCAATATATAACCTATAGGCTTTTCTTCTTCCTTTCTCTTTTTACTTTACTTTGTGCGTAGATCGGAACAAAAATATGTGACTGTGGGACGACCTGTATATACCTCAGCGCCCCATTACCATGGACTCAAAACGTCGGTAATATGAAATAAGATAATAAAAAGCGATAAAATCCCTAAAAGTTTAAAAGACCAAAACAATAATTATTTCCATCTCGGAACCATCGATATACTATACTACTATATCAATGCCGATACCAGAGTCGAAGCCTGTCGTATAATTTCTAACGCATTAGTCCAATTTGGCAAATAGCCAAGATTCCTCAATTGGAATGGCGCAACCTACAGCTACTGTGACGTGATAAGTGATCATCATGATGTAGTACTACATCGGAAAGTTATATGATAAAATTAGGTACATACAGAAATCAGTGTTAAATAAATCTTTGCAGAAAATGTAGTTGTTTACCGTTTCATAAGATAAATAAACATGCGTGAGTGTCGTGGAACACTCGATTGGAACGAAGTTCCTTATTATTGATAAACGTATTATATTATTGATTAACAAATACAAATAAATGTATTACTAGCGTCTATTAAAATGAAGCGTCATTTAAAATAAAATACACTATGACACAAGGTATAGTGACGAAAAAAATCTTACACTTTTTGTCGCCTAGCTCCCATCCGCCAAAGCCGTACCGTCCGATAAGGAACTTCGTTCCAAATATTTAGTATGAATCTCTTCATTTGATATTGGAAATTTAAGGTCTCATGTGTAATTTTAAATCAAGTCTATATACCTAATACTGGTAATAAGATTGGAGTTCAATGAAAAAGGAACTAATTATATCGCAATAAAAATAAAATAATAAATGGTGAATATGATAGAACATAGTGTAATAATCGCACATTTCCATTAAGACTTGGTGATAGAAGAGTCAAATCAGATAACGTCTCCGTTCGTCGCTGCATTTGAAGATTTCTGTACATAATACCTGTTGAGACTGCTTGTAAAGACGTTTTCGCGAATTGCTGTTGCCCTCCTGCCCCCTTACGGCGACACCGCGAAAAAATGCACCTCCTTTCATCGAATAGTATAGGAGTATGACAAGACTAACGAAACTGAAATTTTTATATAGGTAAATTCATGTCTTTATCTTGAATTTGCTTGTTCAAAAACACGATTGTAAAATTTTGACTCGATCATAATTATTTGCGAAAACACCTCCAAAAATCACTATAGTTGAAATTACAACTAAATTACTTAATCTATATTTTTTTTATAGGATAGGGTGACAAACGAGCACACATTCGACCTGATCGTAAGTGATTGCTGTGGCCCATATACATCTACATCTATCATCGATTACAAATCAAAATGCAGATGCGTCACCCATGAGGACTAAGATGGAATGCCTCTTTTCCAGTAAAAAGGGTCTCCGGTCTCACTCACCATACGAAACACAGCAGCATTAAGCTGCTATTTTACGCTGGTATTCTGTGAGAGCGTGGTCCTTCCCCGGTCGAGCTGACCCATTCGTGCTACAACTATACCTTCTTTACTCTGTGACTATACTACTAATACAGCTGCAGCATGGCTCTACCACGTTAAAAACCTTGTGCTTGAGAACCACTCAAATTCATTCATAACATCACTATTCGTAATTTACTTGCTCATTATTTTGATTACTAAAATCAATAATTTTTTTAAATATTTTAAGATTCTAAGCGATTTCTAAGCGGTCTTAATCGTCGCGGGCGCTACGCAATTGTAGACCTTATGACGGCGTTTTTGAAGTTTTTATAGAAATTATGTTTCACTCGGGTCAGTCCGACGATAGCCCGCTTAATCGGTTTTCAGCACGGAATATAAAAAACAAGAGGAAGCCCAAAGTGGGCGGGGCAGACGTGTCACAATTAGTGACAGTAGAGCGTAAGTTTTCAGTGTGTCGCCTTAACATTAAAATAAACTGAAGATTCTTTGAGTTATCTCAAAAACTATTAATCTAACATTT